TGTTGTTCTGTGTCTTTTTTGGCTTTGGTATCAGAGTTATACTTGCTTCAAAGAGTGAGTTAGGGAAGATTCCTCTTCCTTGGTTTTTTTTTTTTTTTTGGCAACAGTTTCAGAACTGTACCAGTTCTTCCTCATTCGTTAGGTAGAATTCAGATGTGAGTCCATTTAGTCCTGGGCTTTACTTTTGTTTGGAGATTTTTTTATTATTGATTCACTCTTATTCACTATTGGTCTGTTCAGAAATTTTATTCCTTCATGGTTCATTGCTGGGAAATTGTGTGTTTCCAGGAACTCACCCATGTCCTCAAGGCTTTCTCATCTGTGACCGTATAGCTGATCATAGTAGTCTCAGATGCTCTTTTGTACTTTCGTCATATGTTGTAATGTCTCCTTTTTCACTTTTAATTGTGTTAATTTGGATCTCCTCCCTTGTTTTCTTGGTTATTCTAGCTAGAAATTTATAAGTTTTGCTTCTTTTTTAAAAGAACCAAATTTTCATTTAATTAAGTCTTTGTTTTTTTGGGGGGGGGACTCAATTTCATTTAGCTCTGCTCTGATCTTTGTTATATCTTTTCTTCTTCTAGCTTTGGTTTTTGGCTTATTCTTGTTTTTCTAGTTCCTTGAGAGGTAATATTATATTGTTAATGATTGATTTTCTATTTTTTTATTTATGCATTTAACCCTGTGAATTTTTCTCTGGGCACTGCCTTTTCTATATCCCACTGTGACTCCATTTTTGTTCATTCCATTCTATCTTAATTTTGTCATTGGCCCAAAGATCATCCAAGAGTGTGTTTTGTAAATTCTATGTATTGTTATAGTTTTGAAAATTCCTGGCTCAGTGCCTGTGGCTCAAGCAGCTAAGGCGCCAGCCACATACACCTGAGCTGCGGGTTCGAATCCAGCCTGGGCCCACCAAACAATGATGGCTGCAACCCACCCCACCCCCGCCAAAAAAAATAGCCAGGTGTTGTGGCAGGTGCCTGTAGTCCCCGCTACTTGGGGGGCAGAGGCAGGAGAATCGCTTGAGCCCAGGAGTTGGAGGTTGCTGTGAGCTGTGATGCCATGGCACTCTACCCAGGGTGACAGCTTGAGGCTCTGTCTCAAAAAAAAAGAAAAAAAAAAAAGAAAATTCCTCTTAGCATTGATTTCTAGCTTGATTTCACTGTGGTCTAAAAGGTTATTTCATATAATGTCTATTTATTTAATTTACTGAGACTAGTTTTGTGGCCTAACATGGTTTCTCTTGAAGAATGTTCTATGTAGTGATGAAAATAATGTATATTATGCAGTTACATAGAATTTTATTTATTATTAAATGTCTATTAGGTCCATTTAGTCTAAAGTCCAGTTGAAGTCAATTTTTCTTTGTTGAGTTTCTGTCTTAAACATCAGTCTGGTGCTGTGAGTGAGGTATTGAAGTCACTCACTATGTTGTTGTATTGCTATCTCTTTTTTTACTTCTAATAATATTATAAATCCTAAGGACAATAAATAATTAAAGGAAGCCTATAATAAGAATGCTATTGCTTTGTTAATCAGATTGACATAGTAGTGGCAGTTGCATAATCATTTTAGTCAGCAAGTAAAATAATGTAGACTACCTTAAAAAAAAAAAAGAGAAGTACCTACAAGAAATTTTTAGCTTTTTAGAAGTGATAAGAGACAAACTAAGAGTGAATCAAGAATTGGAGGATGAAAGGAAGTTTCTTAGGGGTTGAGTTGAAAAAGAAAATGGAAAAGCACAAGAAGACATTCTGATCCAGCAAATATATTGCTTCTATAAGTGGTAGAGAAAAAGTGGAACTAATGTTAGAAGTTTAAAAAAAAAAAATGTGGACCTACTTGAACTGACAAGGGCGGGGAGAAAAGTCATAGCTTACTACTCAGGAAAAGAGGTTACAACATTTAGACACATTCTGGAAAATGCAAAAAGTAAGTGACGAAAAGAAAAAAATCTAGGAATACGTATATATTCAAGGATAGATCTCTCTGGGTCTCTGAAGGCTATGGCTCTGAAATAAAACAGAAGCTCAGGTTTAGGAATCAGTTGATTGTAATTTTACAACTTTCCTAAATGCACCAAGCAAAAAGAAACCACCCGTGGAACTCTAGACACACAGATGTAAGGAATTCCAGTATAGTAAGTAGCCATGATAGCCACTTTGGCAAAGAGCTAAAGAGTCCTTGGAAACCTGTGGCAGACGCAGTCAAATACAAAGAAAATATCAGGTAATAAGAACTACAGGAAATGGGCCCTGAACTTTGTTTTAAAGTGTTTTTGTTGAGTATGCTGCATCACACGTGCTATGGTTTTATTTATGTGTCCCTCCAAAATTCATATCCTGGAACTTAACTCCCTGTGTGATACTATTAAGAGACAAGGCCTTTAAAAAATAATTAAATCGTAAGGGTTCTGGCTGAGATTAGCAACCTTATGAAAAAGCAAAAGGTGGTTAATTAGGCTCTTTTGCCCTTCCACCTTTCTATAAGGTGAGGACACAGCATTCACCCCCTCCAGAGGATATGGTACTCAATGCACCATCTTGGAAGCAGAGATTGGGCCCTAAGCAGACACTGAACTTGCCAGCTACCAGAACTGTGAGAAATAGATTTCTGTTCTTTCTTTTCTTTTCTTTTCTTTTTTGACAGATTCTCAAGCTGTCACCTAGAGTGCTTGGCATCACAGCTCACAGCAACCTCCAACTCTTGGGCTTAAGTGATTCTCTTACATTAGCCTCCCAAGTAGCTGGGACCACAGGTGCCCGCCACAATGCCTGGCTATTTTGTTGTTGTTGTTGCAGTTGTCATTGTTGTTTTTAGCTGGCCAGACCTGGGTTCAAACCCGCCACCCTAGGTGTATATGGCCAGCACCCTACCCACTGAGCTATGGGTGCCACCATATTTCTGTTCTTTATAAGTTACATAGTCTCAGGTATTTTGTTATAATAATACAAATAAGCTAAGACACTGCTCAAAAGAATATACATGTTATATCCCTAGACAGAGCACTCTCAATGCTGCCTTGAGTTGCTTGGAATATAAGGGACAAAGAGGAAGTGGAAACATGAATGTGGAGGTTTTATGATAGGCATAATATTTGGGGAAAATGGTATATTGAAAATTTCTAAATTGTCTGAGAAAAAAAGTGTTTCATATACAATTCATCACAAAAAGTAAATTGTTTATATAGGTATTCTTTTTTCCTCACATTGTGTGAGAATGAGAGTACCACCCTTAACTTCTTAAAGATATTCTTAGTTCTCAGACCCTAGACACCAAACAGTGGGCACAGATTGACAAAACAATTCTGACAACTTGAAACCTGAAACCGTCGATCCTTACTTTATCCCTCTTATCTTTCCATTCTGTGCTCTCCTCAGATAACATAAATTCTCTTTAAGGACTATAGTCAGTGATGGCAATATGGGTTTGAACTTCTCTTTGGCTGAGGAAATGCTATTATACTATATGGTGGCCACATTTTGTTCTGAGGATTTATTTGTGTCTTCTAAATTTTGTGAATATAGAGTTGGTGATTTTGTTGGATATTTATCATTCAAATAAAATAGTACCTTGAAGGAGTCTGAGAAGGTGAACATCTGTGCTTGAGAGGTAAACGCTGATATGTCTTCAAAAGCTCTCTATCTAGCTTTCCTCTCATGAAGAGCCTTCCCCACGCCCAATGACCCTAAGGTGTCCTGTTGCCAGGGCTCTTGAGATTGAGTCATAGTTACAGATTTGAAAATTACACACGAGAAAGATTTCTCCATGGTTTCAACTTCACAGAAATTCCAGAGAAGTACAACCACTTTGATCTTAAGTTCCTTAAAGGGCAGAGATAGTTTGACCCATAGTTGTAATCCCAGCATCCAGTATAATACTGCCCCCAAATTAATATTCAATAAATACTTCAAATGGCTTGTTTCAATTAATCCATTCACTATTTTATTAGGGCAGCCATTTTTCCAGATCCAGTTCAGGCAGAGGGTCCAACTCAGACTTAAAATTACCACCTATTTCTTTCTTTCTTTTTTTTTTTTTTCTTTACTCCCATTTGTTTCAGAAATTTTCTGGCTCTCTCCTTTCAGAATTTAAACAGTGGCTTGGGCTGTGACATTGGCATGCAGATACATAGAGTATCAGTCCTAACAATGAAGATGCCATTTGGAAAGGGGCATCAATTGGAGGATTTCCTGGTTATTTCTCTGTGCAAATAGGATGTGCCTTCATTTGCTTATTCGGTGAAGACCTCAGTATCAGCAAAAGGAAAAGGCCCTGGGAGTACAGAGAAAAGTCCAAATCACAGCTGTGTTTGCACATTCTTGTGCCTGTATGTTTGGGTGAAGGAGGGTTGTTGTTGGGGTTCTTTATGTTTAATACAGTTTATGGTCAGGGATTCCACTTCTTCCCATCATTTCCCAGTGTCTCTTTCTAACTCCAAAGGTGGGTTCTGGCAACAGTGATGAGGAAGCTGCCAGCTGAAGTACGGAAGTATTGATAAGAGTTTGTCAGGAAAACTCGAGAGTTTATTAATGAGAACTCACTATTTGCAACCTGGAGCCATATGAGGTCGCAAATCCCTCAGGGGACTGTAAAATGCATTGTATATGTGTGCCCACCCCTGCCTTAAGGTAGGTCACAGAACCAGATCCAGCTGAGTTTGGCAAGGAAAAGTGGCGTCTCTTTCAATGCATGGCCTGAGCTACCTCGTTCCGGAACCTCAATCCAACAGTCTATCCTGGAACTAACTCCTAAGCCTTTTTACAGTTTAAGGGGATCTGAGTGGGTAAAAGGAAAGAAGAATTTAGGAAGCAGAAAAAAATCTGCCTAGGAAAGAGCACTTCGCGTCCCCTTCTCTGATTGACTAGGGTTATTTTGATACCTATCGGTGATTGGCTCAGGCAAAGACACCAGGTGGGCGGAGACTGAGTCTGGCCCTTGCCCGCCGCCCATTGGCTCCGGCCCTGAGGGCGGGGCCTGGAGCCCGGATGGAGTAGCGGAAGAGCTAGTGGCTGCCCCCGCCTCAGGCTCTTGGTTTCGTGCGCGGGACCGGCTGGTGAGTACCGCGCTGGCAGGTCCAGCTACTTTTTACACTGTGAGCACTTGGCCACTGGACGCTGTGAAACCAGAAGTCTCCACTTTCAGTTTCCGCTGGGAAACTGCAGTCACGGCCGAGGAGGGAGGTGGGTCGACCGCCCGGCCTCTTCTGAAATCTGGTCCTGTGAGCTCACTTTACTCTGCCCCCACGCGCCCATTGCCCAGCGCCCTCCGGCCGGTCCGGAGGGTTACCATCCCCGTGGATCTCGGAGATGACTGCCTCTCCCACCCATACCTCCTTCCCACTTGGGTCCTTCCTCAAGAGTCCTTCCCAGGTCCAGCTGCTTCCCCGCAGATGTCCTTCCCTAACCGGCCCTCTCCCACCGCCCCTTCCCGCCAAAGGCACGGACAAAGCAACTAAACGTTTACTTAAGTGAGGTTTCTCAAAGTAATTTATGTATAATAAAAATTAAAACATTAAAACAGGTCTTATTTTGAAGAGCAGTAGTCACTCATCTCCAAATTCTCTGCTTGTAACTTTTCCATGTGTTAAATATTTCTGTGACCCTAAATCAGGATAATATGCTTCCACTACATTTCCTGATATGTCCTTTTGATATTTCTTTGCCTCGCTTATCGTACTGCCGCAATCTTCTCAATTTTCAATTGCTATCAGTATTAATATTTTAGTTCCACTGTTAATCTTTGTATCATCTAATAATAGTATCAATCTTCAATTATTGTTCTGTCAACTTTAAGCTTTAGGTTTTTTGTTTTTTGTTTTTGTTTTTGAGACAGAGCCTCAAACTGTCGCCCTGGATAGAGTGCCATAGCATCACAGCTCACAGCAACCTTCAACTCATGGTCTTAAGCGATTCTCCTGTCTCTGCCTCCCAAGTAGCTGGGACTACAGGCGCACACCACACTGCCCGGCTATTTTTTGGTCGCAGCTGTCATTGTTGTTTGGCGGGCTGGGGCTGGATTTGAACCTGCCAGCTCAGGTGTATGTGGCTGGCGCCTTAGCCACTTGAGCCACAGGCACCGAGCCAACTTTAAGCTTTAGATGAGGATGCTAGCATTTCCTCTACTTTCACTCTACCATCAGCTGGACCTGAACATTTATATTTAATTCTTTCATATTCAACAAATATTTGATGCACTCTTTCTGGTGCTGAGATAATAGAAGTGAACAAAACAGACAATGTCCCTATCCACAAGAAACTTTTATTTTGTCAATAAACAAATACATAGCAAATGATATCAAGAGCAGGGTCATAGAGAAGTAATTTACAACTGGGAGAACAGCAGAAGTCATAAGGTTTGCAGGAAAGTGGGTAAGTTTATCCCGTTGCTTGGCTGGGCACAGATGCTGTTGGAAGAATGAAGGGAGAGAGCTTCCTGTTGGTAAACCAGGATAAGCTCTTGAGTAGGTTAGTGATTTAACAAAACTGGATTTTTGGATACTGGATCCCACAGTTGGTAGTGATAGTGGGAGGGAGAAAAGTGGGGCAGGGAGACCAGTGGCAAGATATGCTCTGCCATTGGCCTGTAACAAAGTCCTGTAAGATGTACTGCCCTGCTTCCTACAGGAAGCCCCACTGGACTACTTTAAACCAGTGATTTCTCTCTCTCCTGAATTTCTATTGTGCCTTTAAAGAGATTAAGTAATTTGCCCAAGGTGGAATAGTAGAACCCCTAGCCAAGCACCTGTAAAATGAGAACAGTAATGGTTTCTACCTAGGTTTGTGAAATAAATCAAGTTTATCTATGAAAAGTACTCAGAATAGCACCTGACAGGTAGTGTAAGTGCTCAAGGAGTGCTGGCTATTATTATTACTGTGTAGTGTGCTCTTGGTTACCTAACAAATTATGAAAGCATTTTGGGTTTAGGAACTATTATCTAGGCCTAGCTGATTTATTCATTCAACAAATATTTTTTTCAGCAACATCTTCATAGTAGGTCCTGCTTAGGTGCTGAGGATACCACAGACCAACATGGCTCTTCCTTTCACAGACTCTAAGTGGTAACACAAACTTGCAAAATGAATAAATAGATACTGCCAACTAAGCCAGGAGCTTGCCACTCACTATTCAAGCTCCATACCAATAATGTAGCCTTGCCAAAATCTGTTTTCTTATTAGAGTAGTAACCATCAATATGGGTTTATCATCAAATGATATTTGGTTTTATCTCCCAAATGGGCTTTCTTTCATCTCTTCTCTTCTAATATTCCACTAAAAGCTGAGGAGAGCCTTGCATCTTGGTAAATAATAAATACGTTAGTGCTGGAGAAGTGGACAAGTGTTATAGCACCTGAGGAAAAAACTGCAGTTTCTATATGTTACATTTTAGTGTGCAACATGAGAAAACAAATTAAGCATCTGATTACAAGGGGCTTCTGGCATATTACCTTTCTGTACCTTGAAGTATATAAATATAAATGTAAACATACCAGAGAGTATAGCTGGAGGTGTTTGTGGTCTTGCTTTGGATCCTGAAACACCACATTTTATGTGACCATACCCAAGTACAGGAGAAATAATGCTGATTTGTGGAGCATGACTGGAGCGGGAATGGTCCAGAGGAGAATCCTCGTCGAATAAGTGAAAACTGATAATTCCCAACATCTACTTGTTTATGCATCTCCATGTGTCCCTTCTGTGCATGAGTAAAGTGGCCAAGTCAGAACGTCAGTGGGAATACCAATGTTTATTAAACAAAGTTGAAAAAAGTCAAAAGAAAGCAGCTTTGGAGATTTGGGGGGGTTTTGTTTTTGTTTTGTTTTTTTCAGTCACTAACTGACTCTTACTGATCTCTATTATTCTGTCACCTTTTTATCTTATTTCTTTTTCTTTTCTTCTCAGCCTTTGCTACTTCTCTTTCATTATATTCATGTTCTGATAAGGGTGTGAAAAGGAACCATGGATCCTGCAGCATTGGTGGAAGCTGTTGTGGAAGAAGTAGTCTGTCCCATCTGCATGACCTTCCTGAGAGACCCTGTGAGCATCGACTGTGGCCACAGCTTCTGCCACGGCTGTCTCTCCAGACTCTGGGAGGTCCCAGGAGAATCCCAGAACTGGGCTTACACCTGTCCCCTCTGTCGAGCTCCTGTCCAGCCAATGAACCTGAGGCCTAATTGGCAGCTGGCCAATATTATAGAAAAAGTCCGTCTATTAAGGCTACATCCAGGAATGGGGCTGAAGGGTGATGTGTGTGAACGCCATGAAGAACAGCTAAAGGTGTTCTGCAAAGAGGATGGCCTGGTGATGTGTGAGGCCTGCTGCCGATCCCCAGAGCATGCAGCCCACAGTATCGTGCCTGTGCAGGATGTTGCCTGGGAGTATAAGGTGAGAGATGGAGGCTGGCCACTCCAGTCTTTCCCTGCCCCTCACTTGACCATCTCCAGATCAAGGGCTTTACCACCAACCCCAGAGACTAAGAGCTGATTCCTTTGGCTCCTGACTCCTCCATAACCCCGAGATCTAATATAGGGAACTATACTCTTCCCTGTATTCATGACCTTTAATTTCCTTCCATCCTACTTCTTCCATACTCCAGCCTAGATTCCAGCGTGGCTTAATGCCTAACTCAAAGGTGATGTCAGTGCTGAGAATTTGAAGGAGACCAGTTTGGTTTTAACTGGAGTTCTGCATGCCTTTTATGAGTTTGAGTATGAGGCTATTATCTAAGTAGTAAAGGCAGTGTTTAAAATGAAAATCCCTCCCAGCAATGCCATAAATAGCCATTTGACATTGGGTGAGCTATTTTCATTCCTTCATTTTATATGCAAAAGTAAGGCTTAAAAATTTGAAATGATGGCAATTGATTTTAGACCTGGAAGAAACTATAGGTGAGTCACATAGGACTGAGTGAGGCTTTCTACTGTAATGTTCTCCCATCCCTCTGACTTGAAATAAGGGAAAATCAGAAACTGTGATTCAGGTCATCTTGCTCCTTACCCAATTTCCTATCTCCTTTCCTAAGTTGTATTTTTATTTTTTTGGACAAATCTTGTCTGACACACCTGCTACTCCTTTTTTATTGCTAATCTCATCAGCTTCCAGCACGTGGGCTTCTCGTTGCTCTTTCCTCAGGCTCCCATGCTGAGGTGTCTTTATCAGAACCATTGTCCCAGTGATCCTGTGATCCAGTACTAGTCTTGATTTTCTTTCTTAGAGTTGAGATTAGAAGGTAAAAGTGTAAGACAAATCCCCAAACTAATTTTTCTTTTTCCCCTATGCAGGAAGAATGTCTAAAATATTAAAAGTATTTACTAAATCATTTTGTTTTTAGAGTATTAAAACCAGGAGCTAACATGACATAGGGGTTAAGGGCTAGGTTAAATCCCAACCCACCCATTTGCTAGCTGAATGACTCTGGGTTAGTCACTCTCTAAACCTCATGTGTTTTGCCTCTAAAATTCTAAAATAAGGATAATAGCAATCTCAAGAGATTTTGCAAATATTAAATGCATGTGTAGTGTTTAAGCTATGTCTGGCACTTAGTAATTTTTTAAAAAATGATTGCTATTAGCAGAATTAAAAGTGTTATCTGAATATTTTATATACTTTTCAGCAGAAATCTCATGCATTACTATTCTCAGAAAGTGCTTTTTACCTTTAATGTAAATATGAACCACTAGGGATCTGGCTAAAATTCAGATTCTCATCACTGAGGCCCAAGATTCTGTGTTTCTGATAAGCTCCCAGGTAATGCTTTTGCTGCTGACTGGTACCATACTCTGAAGAACCAGGTTCTAGAAGACTGAAAGATAACATGGTAGGTAAGGATAAAGATAGGCATGGATGGGAAAGTTCAAGGTGGTTTTCTCAAAAGGTTAGGAATGGACCTTTCTCCCATCTTACAGGCAGTAAGAGACTGTGGTAGTTAAAATAATTCTCAGCTCAGAGAGCCACCTTGGATATCACATGGGCAGAGTCTGCTCCCTTTGTGGCATTCATTCTGCCCCACTGCCTAAGGAGTACTAGTTTTCCCATAATCTACCAGTGCCGGGAAGCCCAAGTTGCCTGAGGTGCCTCATGAGGTTTTTATCTCTTGCAGTGGAAACTCCATGAGGCTCTAGAACATCTGAGGAAAGAGCAAGAAGAGGCCTGGAAGCTGGAAGTTGGTGAGAGGAAACGAACGGCCAACTGGAAGGCAGGTGCCTCCTGGGGAAAGGAGTCTGTGTCATCCCTGTATTGTGCTATCTGGCCCCTGATAGCTTCCTTATCTCTGTGAGGCAGATGTGGGGCCCAGGGTTCCAACACCAGCTTTCCCTTCACTAGATATGTGACGTTAGGCAGGCCACATAACCTCTCAATTCCAGTTTTTTGATGTTTTTCTGGTCTGTGTCTTCACATGTCTGAAAGGAAAAGTGCATGTCTCATGTATGTGTCAGCTCACAGTGGCATGACTTGTATGCTTAGTAAAGCAGAATTTCTGCTCCACTTTCTCCACTTAAAGCATATTTGCTATGAGTTCAGTTATTAAAATCACTTCTGAAATAAATGTCAGGCCAATAACAACAAAACTATCAGACCTTTTGATCAACAAAAGGTACCATTGAACTGATCTAGAATAGCACACTGAACAGATATAATACCAGCAAGAAGAAAAGCCATCTAACAGTGTAGTTAAGCTACACTGTCTTAGATACTTCAGTGTAACACATCTGGCCATTATTCTGAAAGTGGAAACTAGTCTAGAGCAGATAGTACTAAAATGATACCCTGGACCTCCTGGAGTCAAGAAAAATGACAGTAGGAATGAGAAGCCTCCAGTGGAGCTGTGGGAACAGAAAAAAGAAAAATAATATCTTTATCTTTGTCCCTACAGTGCCTGGTATATGGCTGGTACCAAAACATTCAAGGGTATGTGTGTAGATATTTGCCAGAGTCCCCAGTCCTGGGTAACTGAGTCTTACAGTATAAATATTAGTGCTGATTTCTATCTTGACTCCACAGATACAGGTTGAAACTCGAAAGCAGAGTATCATGTGGGAGTTTGAGAAATATAAGCGATTGTTAAAGCATGAGCAGCCATCAGGTCGGCAGCTGGAGGGTGAGGCAGAGGCAGCTCTGGCCAGCCTGGAGCAGGAGGAGCGGGAGGCCCTGCAGAAACTGCAGATGAACCATGATGAGCTCGCCCAGCAGAGCAGGGTCCTGTGGAGGATGATTGCAGAGCTGGAAGAGAGGTCACAGTGGCCTGTCCGCTGGATGCTGCAGGTGAGGAGCAGATTTTCCTGGGAACCCAGAGTGAGGGCTCAGGACAGACTGGGACTCCAGGAGAGAGGATCAGTTAGTCTTCAGTGCCAGCTGATCACAGATCCCATGTGCTCCAAGCTAATACCTGCTGTTCTCTTATCCCCTGGCTGGGGGCTGACCTGGCCTGTGCTAGTCTCACAGAAAGGGCAGTGCTCAGGTAGCTCCAGCATCATTCCAGGCCCTCCCCTTTAACCTGAGAGTCTTGAACCGGACCCTGAGTCAAGTCAACCAGTCCAGCCAGAGCTCAGCCTGCTCTTCTGTCCTTTGTAGGCTTCTTCCCCTGTGCCTCTGTAAGGCTTCTCCTCAGCCTTTCTATCTGTCTCCCTTCCTTTACAGAAACCACCTCCCAGAGTTCAGTATCTGTAGGGTTCCTCTGAGGGACAGCACATACTTATGTGATACATTTTTTTCTTCCTTCTAGGGTGTTAAGGAAATCTTACACAGGTATGTTCCCATCCTGGAAGCCTCTAGGCAGCCGTACAAGGGATAGTGGGGCCTGGCCAGAGCCAGAAGTGGGGAAGGTGACCCAGTGCCTACAGAAAAGTAGATGCTGTTCCACAGTCTTATCCTTCTTATAGGTGTTGGCTAAAGAAGCTTGTTGATCTTTCCTTTTTCTTCTTTTTGAAAAAAGAAAACTTGGTCAAATTCAGTTTAGGTACAGGCATTTACCAAGGAGAATATCAGGTAAAGTTATTAAATATGTGGTTTCAAGTAGATCCCTCAAGGAAGGAAAAGTGCCACATGCACATCTCACCCTTCCCAAGTATGGGGTGTTCTCACCTCTGCACACAAAGAATCTGAAGCTCAGCCAGACAATCACATCTCTGCCTCCTGGGGAGGGGCATTTCATGATGTTCCTGGCCAAGCCCCTCTTCCCTGACTCAGAGAAGGCCCGCTTGGCAGAGGCAGGACTCCTGGCTCCAAGGGTCCCTCTCCTCTACCAGGAGCAAGTCTTGGAGTCTGCAGCGGCCAGAACCAGTGTCCCTGGAGCTGAAGACGGATTGTCGTGTGCTAGGGCTAAGAGAGATCCTAAAGACGTATGCAGGTAACAGATGCTGAGGGGACTGTGATGGGCAGTGAGAGGGACCCTCCCATGGAAATGAAATGGCTCTGTGTCCTCTGGATGCCCCTTCTAGCTGCCACCCACTATCACTGAGAAATCTGTGGCTGTATCTGTCAGAGAGACTTCACCCATGCCCCTTGGCTCAATGTGCATGTTATAAGCCAGGATCTCTTTCCCTAGCCGATGTGCGCCTGGATCCAGACACTGCTTATTCACGCCTCATCGTGTCAGAAGACAGAAAATGTGTGCACTATGGAGACACCAAGCAGAATGTGCCCGACAATCCTGAGAGGTTTTACCGCTATAACATTGTCCTAGGCAGCCAGCGTATCTCCTCAGGGCGGCACTACTGGGAGGTGGAGGTGGGAGAGAGGTCTGAATGGGGCCTGGGGGTTTGTAAGGAAAGTGTAGACCGGAAGGAGGTGGTCTGTTTATCCCCACACTATGGTTTCTGGGTGATAAGGCTGAGGAAGGGAGATGAGTACCGAGCAGGCACTGATGAATACCCGCTCCTGTCCCTGCCAGTTCCCCCTCGCCGGGTGGGAGTCTTCCTGGATTATGAAGCCTATGATATCTCCTTCTACAATGTGACTGATAACGGCTCCCACATTTTTACTTTTCCCCACTGTCCCTTCCCTGGGCCCCTCCTACCCTATTTTAGTCCTTGCTATAGCATTGGAGCCAACAACACTGCTCCTCTAGCCATCTGCTCCCTGGATGGGGAGGACTAAGAGAGTTACTATCCTGACAAGAGACCTCGCAGTTTGGCTTGGCCTGTGGGGGTCTTGGAGGACCCTGCCACTGAGGACCCTGTCACCCGTCACCCTTGAACTGAGCTGAGCCTAGATCCAGGAATTCCCTTGCCTGGCCCGGTGGTCTCTTGCTACTAATCTGGTGTATACTACTAAACCACTCATGTTAAAAAGCAGGGAACTAGTCAGATGAGTTCTGCACCCCCTAAGGAAATGGGACAGGGCTGACAGTGAGGATCAGAACCTTACCCTTACTTGTTAGGGTAAGGATCAGCACTTTGTTCTCTAGCTCACACCCTTCTTCCTTAGTTCCTATCTAGTGCCATAATTAAGTCAGTGAGGACGATGAAGTGGGTACAATCTTCAGAAAACCTTTAAATAGGGTTTACCAGCAAACCAAAAGAACACTGTTCATATCCAAAGCTGGCTGCTCTGCTGAGACCACTCAGGAATGCTTCCCCGAGGTTTGCTGCAACCGAGCAACCTATACATGACCCTTGCTCTCTGACTCCTTGACTAGAGAAATGCAGTCCAGCAGAGAATATAGGACCTGCTAGACCAACCCCACTGTCGTCCCCTCTCTGAGCATGAGCTGGGAAGGTCACCATCTTTCAGGCTTTTAAGGAGGCCAGTGTCCTAGTCCTATCTGCTTCTGTAATTGGAAGGATCAGAAAACTTGAGAACCTTATTTTTTTATTTTCACTTTATGGATGAAGAAACAAATGGCTTTAATGAAGCAAGTTATTTCTTACAAGGCTGTTGAAGACAAGATAATAAAAATTATAAATTATTTTTCACATTCAAATGAAATGAGATTGACAAACTCCCTTCTCATGTCACGTGTCTTCACATCATTTATTCATTGGGGTCTGAAACATCTCACGAGTTCAAAATGTTTTAAGTGTTCTCATTGCAGAAAAGTGTGTAATTCAGCATAAAACCACATATTCTACCACTTAGAATTGTTGTACAGATCCCAGATCCTATCCCATGCTTTTCTTCCTTTCTCAGGGATACAGGAAGGCAGGCTGTGGGTTTTGCCTGTGGTGACCTACCCATTGTGCTGTGTTATGCCCAGGATCTTTACAACAGTGCCTTTGTCTCTTAGGGCCTCTCCTGGCAGTCTACAGTGCTGTAGACAGAAAGGTGCCCATGCCAGCAGCACACTGTGGGCCTCAGTAGAATATTGTCCATTGGGTTACATGAGTTTGGTTTTGGATTAGAACACAACTGTGATCTCAGAGTAGTAAATGGGGATAATAAAAAAGAAAAAAAAAAAAGTAAAACAAGTGAACAGAAAGAAAGGCTCATGCACCAACAAGTTAGGCTAAAATTTGGATCTTTTGATGGTGTCAGGAGAATTTTCATGGTTCCGGAAACTATAAAATATTCACCTTGCCTTTCTGTTCTCTGAATCTATGCCAGAAGGAGGAATAGAAGAGGAAGAGAGGAAGTGTGGGGAGAAAGAATGGGTCTGGGCTCCCCCCCCAAAAAAAAAAAACTAGTTTGGGAACCCTGTATTATTACCTGGTGAAAAGGAATTAAGATTTTCTACCTGGACAGTTAACTTTAGAATGATTGTTATGTGTGGAAGGGAAGGTTGTACCAAAACAATTTATTAAAAGTCTTAAGGGTGTGATGTGGAAGTGATCGTAGCTGGAAATAAACTGTGAGGCAAGCATATGAGAATTATTGGCTCTGTTTATTGAGAAGGGCAACATTATGTATGATATGACATTATGTGTTGTCACCATAGTGTTATGTAACACAACCTGTGATGTAGTACAAGCTTGAAGATAGTGCTTGTTGGGTTAGGATGGGGCAAGAAATACATGTAAGGTTAGCTGTAAGCAGAAGCAAAGTGGCTTCAATTGACTATGACAAGGAATATTAAAAATTGTGCTTCTACTTTAATTATATTGGCTGTTCATGTATAAAGAAGGTGAAACAGGCCAAAATGGAGAAATGACTCATTCTAGCCACTAAGCTTCCAAGTTGCTTCTGCAACATTAGGAGCAGAAGGAGAGAAGTTTCTATCAACTGCTTGGTGGAGTGATATGGTGAGCCACAGACATGATCCCAGCAAAGGATGGAGTCTTCTTACATTAGAGGGACTATCTGACTTTCTGTGGGGTGATCTATTGGGCAATAGAGTTGAGGAAGAGGTCAGAAAGCACTAGTGACCCTACATGCTTAGAAGAGGGTTGAGATAAATCGTTCTTTTACTATGTTCTGTCCTTAGACACTTAGAAGAGGTTGAGACGAATCATTGTTGTTCTTTTACTGTGGTCTTATTAGAGCAAATTTTGGAAGATTCCAAGAAAAGGGGGATTATTAGATGTTAAATGCATTCAAACCTAGAATGAATTAAGGAATAAATAGATTCATTTATAATGTGCTATTTGGGGATTGTTTATTTTTTACATTTATCTGCTGATTTGGATGCTATCATTACTTTTTAGAAAAATTGCAAAGTTAAAAGCTGCCATATTGTTTCACATTGTCTGACTTTTAATTAAGACCAGGCAAGAAGGTTGATTCTAGAGGGTAGTTCCTTATACCCCTTTCTAAGAAATACATGAAGAAAAGGACCTTGGCTTTTTAGTTCACCATTGTATTCCAAGAATGGTACTATGTGTGTGTGTATGTTTGTGTGTGTAATATTTTATATTTTAGTGAAGGAACATCCTTTGTTATATAAGCTCTTCCTTCCTTAAAGGGACAGTAAAAACTAGTTGATAATTACTATGTTCCAATACAAGTTTGATGGATGATTTCTTCTACTGGGACTTTCAAACATACTCAGAAGGACAGAAGACAGGTAGCCATGCTGAAGTGGAGTGCCTACAGAGCTCCCTGTAATGCACAGGGTGGCATCCACAACATGATACACATACTCATATAAGGCAGGGATGAGCTTTTCCCATCCTTGTTTTACTATCCAAGAAACTGAGGCCTGCTATGCCTGTACTTTAAGAGGAAAGGCAGCTAAAAGAGTAAAAAGTGGGTGGCAAAGTGAAACTCTGTCAAAAGGAAGAACAGAAGTAAACACTAATTTGCACATATGAAAATAAAACTCAAAGGAAACCAAGTATTTAGGAAGGGGGAGGAGAGAGAGGGCAAATTCACACCTAACTGGTGCTGTGCACATATTCTGAGTGAAGGGCACACTTAAAACGTTTAATTAAAATATGCAAAAGAAAAAAATAATAAAATGTACAAAAGCAAATTATGTAACCAAAATGTGTGCATCCCTATAATCTGAAATTTCAAAAAATGTTTTTTAAAAAGGAAACAGATGGACAAATCTGTAGTTTCAGAATTCCCCATAGGAAATCTAATCTGCCTTTCATCAAGATTGTTTGTAATCTCTTAAGATGTAAACATTAAGGGTCTACTGTGGATGTCAGGCCCTATGTAAATGAATACACATGTGATAGGCCAGGGGCCATATCTGATTATCTTGTGACGGGTAAGAAGTATATAGTTGAGTAGATATTATGAGTATTAACAGTGAGTTCCATCTAATTTCAGGGAGTTCCTCTAAGAGTGAAAGATAGAGCTGGTTAGGCAGGCTTCCAGATGGAAATGCTGGGAAGAAATTTCTGTTTTATGTATAGGCAGGACTATACCCTTGTTGCTTTACATCAGACCCTTGAATGCAACTAATAGTCATTGATTTAATGGACATAGTCAATTCATTATGTTGAATATGGAGAAAGAATAGTGTAAATTTTCAAAATTGAAGTCTTATCAAATATGTTTAACAACCTTATGATTTTGTTTTGTTTGTATGTAAGAGCGTACAAGGGAAAGAGTTTCTTTTTACTGTTCCTTGGGACTTCAGTTCATTATTATCACATTTTTAGGAGGATGATTCCTACTCTGCTATTCTCCAGAAATAGAATACATTCTTTATAGGTAAGCAAATTCAATGTTAGCCAAAGAAATAGATATTATTGTTAAGCAACTGGTCTGTTTGAAAGTGTTATCATATGACTATGGACCCATAGAGGACTACATTTTGATTAATATGTAGAATTACCCCTTAATATTATGGAATTAGAAATGTATTGGGTATATCTTTAGGTACATATGTCAGAGGTTGTGTTATATTTTTTACATTTATTATTTACTTGACCTGCTATGCCCTCTATGAGTTAACATTATATCCCCTATCAACAGAGAATGTTTAGACAGAGATACAATAACTTAATGCTGACATAGTTTCATCTTGTACTTTGAAGATTAACACCATAGGAAGTTTTCTTTTGAATAATTGTCAGTGGAGGCTGGGCACGGTGGCTCACACTTGTAATCCTAGCACTCTGGGAGGCCAGGGTGGGTGGATTGCCTGAGCTCACCGGTTTGAGACCAGCCCAAACAAGAGCAAGACCCTGTCTCTAAAAAATAGCCAAGCGTTGTGGCCAGTGCCTGTAGTCCCAGCTACTTGGGAGGCTGAGGCAAGAGAATTGCTTGAGTTCAAGAGTTTGAGGTTGCTGTGAGCTGTGTTGCTACAGCACTCCACCAGGAGGATGACAAAGTGAGAGTCTGTCTCAAAAAAGAGAAAAATAATAATTGTCAATGGTATCAGAGTCAAATGTAAGTATCCCTTATGTATGAGATCTTTTTTTGTCAATGTATATTGAAGACTTGAGTACTTTAAGACTTCCTAAATGGGGGGTAGAGGGAATCATATAAGTATTGAGTGACTGGCAAAGAGTAATGACATTTATATTTTTCTCTATTAGACTTTTCTTCTCAGAGCACACCTCCTAAAAGGTGCCTGCAAGAAGAAAGGCCAGTTTTATACTCATTCCTCTTCTGTGCCTTAAGGTAAACACAATAGGACTAGGAATGACAAAGATTTCTAAAACCAAACTCACATGGACTTAGCTTCTTTTGTTGCTTAAAAACAAAAATGTGCTGAAGGGTACGCTAACTCTGGCTAGTTTAACAACTAAAGGATAGATTAGTAAGATAGAGAGGTATTTTCCAGGACTTAAATGGATGTACCTGGATGCCAAAAGTGAACTGGAATCAGAACAACAGTTCATTCTTTTCATCCACCTTGCTAATTAGCTTCCCTTGCTGTGAGCCAGTTTCCTCTTTACAAATTCATGTGTTATAAAATAACCACCATTACTAATCCCAAGTGTGTGTCTCCCCATAACTGGAATACATGTTGGATGGAGAAGTATTTGGTCTAGGCATACAAGCACATGACCCAAGTTGAATAAGTTCACCACTGAGCCAGAGTCATATTCCAATACTTATTTCATATAATGACATGAGGGAGGGACAGTTCTGAGAAAACCAGCCAGGTGAGTGAAGGGATACAAAACAGTTGATTTCTGTGTGGTGCATGTGGCTCAAAGGAGTAGGGTGATGGCCCCATATGCTGGAGGTGGTAGGTTCAAACCTAGTCCCAGCCAAAAACTGCAAAAAAAAACAGTTGATTTCTTCAGCAAAGGGACTGGTAGGGCATTGGGTTGGAAATATGGGTCACAAACTAAGGAAAGAAAAGTCCCAAATCTATATTCTCTGCCCAAACTTATCTCAGATTCAGGTACTGGCTCACTGAAACAATTGAAAAGGTTCTCAGTATATCAGAAACATTTCTTTCACATTCTGCTAAAAATGGAAAGCCTATTCAAGCCTACCCATTACCAATTGACCTCAGAATTCCTAAAGTACCAGGTAAACCAGTGCAGCTCCA